ATTTAAAATGATTCTTCACGAGATTTATTTTAATTAAAAATAAAATATATTTCGTTGATGATTTTTCAAATTAAAATTTTTTTTTTTTGATTAAATTACTGATTACTTAATTATACTTAATTAAATTACTGGAACTTTTTTGACAAAAAAATATAAAATTTAACTAAATAATTATTTTAAGTTTGTCGCTAGTGTTCATAGGTATATATGTATAGATTAGTTATATCTAATTGACGGTAAACTTGACCACCATCAGATATTTTAACACAATAACATGTTAATAAATGAGAAAAATTGTGCTTGAATTTTGTCGGTGATATCATTTCACAGGAGGATTAACAATAAATTTTAATTAATTATGTATTTAGCTAAATTTTATCATTAATCCATCAGTAGTTTCATCAATTTATTTTCTATTTTTTAATTTAAAAATCATCAACAGAATATATTATATTTTTAATTAAAATAAATTTCATCAATAAGAATGTATTTAACAGGTTTTAGAAAATCCAATAAGTTATTTAACAGGTTTTAGAAAGTCCAAAAAGTTATTTGTTCTAAAAAAAAATTCCAATAACTTAATTACTCCAAACAATAAATTTGATTAAGTTTTTTTGAATTATTTTTATTAACTTGTGCAAGTAACCAACAAAGGTGGACAAAAAGGACTCATCAAGATGGACCAGAATGTTTTTTCTTAATCACTTTGTGTAACCAACCAACAAAGGTAGATAAAAAGGACCATCAAGATATAAATGATAGGGGTTAGCAATAGGCGGCTTTCGATAGAAATCGAAATCGGAGCCGGCGGTTTTTGAGATATTAGAACTAGAACCGTCGGGAACCGGTTCCGGTTCCGGATACCCGTTTCCTAAAATATTAAAATTTTGTTATTTATAAATAAAAAATAAAACATTGCCAAACACTAAATAAATAAATAAATAAGAATACAAATTATACGGAATAATGGTTACAAAAATTGTTTAACGATTACAAACCATAATAGACTAATAGTAAATGTTGAAAGTTTAATGATTACATATTATAATTGTAAAGGCTCAAAGTTTAACGATTACATATTATGAGTCCAATTAAACACACAATTTGAAAAAATACGAATAATTTTATCTTAAATTCTGAATCTAGAGTTCTAAGTTCTTGCTCTAATTTAAATTTAATATTAAAAAAATTAATTATTTTTTTAATTGAAAAATATCGGGTACCTAGTCCCGGAACCGGTCCTGACGGGTAACGGTTCCGAAAAATTGAGAACTGGAACCAGAACCATTCTCAATCGGTTTCGTATTTTATGAACCGAAACCACTTAAATCGGTTCTGGTTCCAAAACCGGGTACTCGGTTCCGCTGCTCACCCTTTTTAATAATTAAAAATAAAATCTTTTGAGTGGTTTAAACTGATTATACGGATTAAGATTTTGTTAATCTAACTACCAAAACATCGTATATTTTTCTTTTCAGTAGTAATTGAGCAATGGGAATAGAGCAAATACATAGATAGAAACATTGGAGGTTTTTGTATCGACGGTCTAGAAGCAAGTGATATCATTGGTTGCTTTGGCAACAACGGGTTTTAGCAACTTATCCAAAAGTAAACCATAGATTAAAATTACAAAATTGATCGTAAATCTTCACTTATGACAAAATAAGCCTTGTCGCTTGCATCTTGCTTTATATTCTAGTCTGTCACTCTATCCATTACGTTTTTCTAATAAATGCAAGGGCAAAATAGTCATTTTAGAAACTAAACAAACAAAACCCTAGAATCCACTCACTATCTTTTCTCTCTCTCTCCATATGCCCCTTGAACAAATCTGTAATATTGTGACTGCATTGGAACCTTAATTCCCTCTTTGGTTGCATTCAGGATCCGACCAACTTATGCATCTTCGTTCAAGATTCACCGAATTTTTACTAAATTTGTATAAAATTGTTGTTTATGTTAAATGTTTGTGATTGTATGTTATGTTTTTGTGATTTTTTACTAACCACAAGGCTTATTATGTAATAAAATAAAGATTAGGGAAACTTTCATAACTTTTACCAAACCACGGGGACCAAAATCCATAATTTACTTTTTACTCATTACTCAGTAGAAGTATTAAAATGAAAACAGATTTTCAAAATAAGGATCAAAATTAGGAAAAGGTTTCTTAGGGGACAATTTTACAAACTAAAACATCTTTAAGGGACGATTTATGTAATTGGCTAAAAAAGGTATGAAAATGTACTCTTTATTGTCTTCAACCTTCTTGATTAGATTCTGGCTAGCAAATTAGCAGGTCAGATGACAATGGAGGCCTTGAAGGTTTGGTCTTCACGGCCTTTAAGGCATCTCTTTCATTTAGCTTCCTCGTCTCCTCCTCATCTTACTTCGAAGTCATACCTCCCTGTTACCTTTATCCGCTGCTGTTCTTCTTCCTCCTCCACCTCCGCCGCCGCCACCTCTGCCGCCGTGCCAAAACAAGGCGGTAGGAGTAGAAGACCATCCGCTGCTTCGACTGCGACTTCAACCTCAGATAGGGAGGCCATTCGCGCAATTCGTCTCAAAAAGGTTTCGCCTCATTTCTCTATTATTAATTTGAATAAAACTCGCTTGTTTTTGTTTTTCAGATTTTGCCTTTTGTTTCGTTTTTCATTGATATTTACTTTGGAAATCAAATTGCTAATGTGTGAGTAAAGATTTCGTTTTTAATTACTGAAGAGTGAATATCACACCCCGGTTCCAAACAAGAAAATGTCACAGTTTGCCTTTTAGGTCAAAGTTCATATCGAAGTTTGTTAACTCCAATTGTGTGGTAGAAATTGGAATTCTAGTTGAATTAGGTATTAAATCATGGAATGTATCTCTTTTCTTTACTAGAGGATTGCTAATCACCAATTCGTCATGAATGCCTTTTATATAATTCATGTAAACATGAACATTCGGTTGAAAAGATGAGTGTTAACATATAGAAAGAAGGCCTATTGCCATTGTGATTGTTATGAGAGCATCAAGAATCAAAATTTGAAACAACCCATTGAAGAAATTACTTCAAAAATGGTTGTAGTATTCACATATAATGTTTCTCTATGGATATACAATGTAAGTGTATGCCGGCACTGTGTATGCAGTTTGTACATACATATTGTTATATAACAGATATAAACCTGGCTATAATCGGTGTGGGTGTTCAACTGTTATATCTTGTTAATTCTTTTTGCAATGAAAACAATGTTTATAGGTGGAAGAGTTGAGGAGCAAGGGCTTTGAACCCTATGCTTACAAGTGGGATAGAACCCATACTGCTAATCAGTTGCAAGAGATGTATAAACATCTAGGCAATGGTGAAGAGATGAACGGTGAGAATGATCAAGTATCAATATCAGGAAGAATTGTGGCACGTAGGGCTTTTGGAAAACTCGCTTTCTTGACTTTGAGGGATGATTCTGGGACAATTCAGGTATGCTGATGTCTCCCTTATTTCAATGTGGAAAGGTTGTGTTGCTTGTTATACTAGCTTTAATCACCATCATTGAAGTAGGTGGCAATGATTGAAAATTGTTGAGTGGAAACCATTGCTCAAATTGTGGTATTAGTTTTTTTTTTTTTTTTATTAACCTGGATATCCAACCCGCTATGCGAGCCGACTAATCCCAGGGCGACCACTTGCTTTGCAGATAGCCCGGAGTCACTGCATTTGAACCTCCGTGGCCACAAGGGGATTTTTATTCCTCCTTGGATTTGAACCTGAGACCTCCTTGTACTTTTGACCTTTGGAGCCAAGCTCAAACCATTCAGGCACCACCCTTGTGGTTGGTATTAGTTTTCTAATTTGTGGGTTAAAGGCCATGACCAAATATAAACAAATTTATGCTTAATATTTTTCTAGTTTGTGCATTATTGCTATTCGAATTTCTTGACTTTTAGATAAGCATGGATAGTTCGCAAGGAGATATTGGATGCTATAATTATTGGTGTCAATTGAAAAAACTTGGTTTCATTCATAGTTTTGCAACTGATTGCAAGAACAAAAGAGTGGGAAAAGGTGCAAACTCCAAACTAATTGAAACTTTAGTGGAAACAATCATCGCTGGGTTTATAATTCCTTGAAAATCATAGTCATATGTATATCCTTTTATTAACAGTAAACTAAAAAGTAAAAAATGAAGAAGGTAAGTTGAGACAAGGGACCTAGCCTCTCATTTTCTGAGTAAAGTCCCTTGGGCCATCTGCAGCTCCGTTTTGCAACATTTTCCTTCCTCAACTCCATTTACTTAAAAACTAAGTAAAATACAAGTCCATGCATCATAGAAGCATTTAGACAATGAAATAAACATGCTTATCGTTTGCAAAAATTGATGCTAGATCTTTCTGTAGAACAGTGTTGTGTGTCCTATCACTGATATATATTTACTTATAATTTCAGCTTTACTGTGAGAAGGAAAGGCTTGTAAATGATCAATTTGAGCAATTGAAGAGCCTTGTTGATATAGGAGACATATTGGGTGCACGTGGCTCCATTAAGCGGACAGAGAAAGGTAAGTTTTATACAAATCCCTTGGTACAAAGTTTGCACCTTCCTTACAAAGTTCTACTCAAGAGTCAAGGCAACTATTATATAAAACAATGTCAAGTACCACTTACCATAACATATGCAAGTTTGTTAGTCTTAATACCATTTCCAAGGAAGTAATAATTCACTTTTTAATAGCATTCACCTTTTTACTCCTTCTTTCCATTGTTTTCAGGGGAGCTCTCTGTATGTGTAAATTCATTTCTGATTCTCACAAAGTCTTTGCTTCCACTTCCGGATAAGTTTCATGGTCTAACAGATGTGGATAAGCGTTATCGCCAACGGTTAGTTTTGTAATATATATCTGCATTCTTTTCAAATTCTTTTGTAGAATATTTTGACGAGTAATCATAGATGAGATGTTTATAGAAATCTTGTTGTGATCAGCCAAATGGATGGCTTACTGTTAAAACACTGTTATAAGCAATTCTGTTTTCTTTTATAGATATGTAGATATGATTGCAAATCCAGAGGTAGCTGACGTATTTCGTAAAAGAGCAAAGGTAGGGTCGAAACATTGTGGTATTTAATCTTCTAAAAGATTAGTGTTCAGTACTTGTGGCTATATGTAAATGAAAGTTATATATTTACTAAACCCCCTTATGGATTTTGTTTCATCTTATTAGCATAGAATATAGTTTCTTATCTTCAAATGCTAGTATGCTGATTTGTGTTTCACTTCAGTAGATTGTATCAGTCATTCGCCAGACCGTTGAATCTATGGGCTTTATTGAAGTTGATACACCAGTTCTACAGGTGTGTAAATCATTCATCGGCTATCATGGGAGGAAGTAGTTTGACTCTTGCTTGATGTGAAGATATGTGATCTTTTTGAAACACGAGAGATGTTTTTTATTCTTAAATTGATTCAACTTACTAGGGAGCAGCTGGTGGGGCAGAAGCTAGACCATTCATTACACACCATAACTCTCTTGGTAGGGATCTTTATCTCAGAATCGCTACCGAACTCCATTTGAAGAGAATGCTGGTGAGATTCTGAATATTGTACATTGTATAAGAAACCTTTCAATTTCGCATAAATAGTGATTGATATCTTGGTTTAGTTAGCAACCTCTTTCAACATTGAAGTTTTGTAAGGTTGTATTTGTATTCATATAGGTTGGGGGGTTTGAAAAAGTATATGAGATTGGAAGAATATTCAGAAATGAAGGCATTTCAACTCGTCATAATCCAGAATTCACAACTATAGAGGTAATATGTGCATCATTTGCCACAATGTCATTTTAAAAAGGTTTGATTTTGTAACACTCGACTATTTCATTCATAATTGTGATCACATCATCATCAACTTCGTATCTCTGTATTCTAATTCGTACTTTTCAGGTTTGTTTAATCACCATTGGTCGCTTTGTCTTAAACTGATCCAGATTTACGAAGCATATTCAGACTATGAAAGCATGATGAACATGGCAGAAGAAATTGTAACCCGATGTGCTTTTGCAGTCCATGGGAAGCTTAGTGTTGATTATCAGGTGTGAGAACTTCTGTGTTTTTGCTGTTAACCTCTAAAATGAATGTTAAAGTTGTTGAGTGTTACTTTCAAATTTGAATTTTTCTTACCGTGTTCGTATGTATTACTACAAATCGTGTTTGAAAATCACTGATTTACATGCAGGGCGTAGAAATTAATCTGGAAAGGCCTTGGAGGAGGGAAACGATGCACAATCTGGTGAAAGAAGCTATAGGGATTGATTTTCTTGAGTTGGGAAACGATCTCGATGCTGTTAAGGCAGCAACACTTAGTGCACTCAATATGGGTCTGAATAATCAAGACAGACATTTGATTGAAGCATGCTCCTCTGTCGGTCACGTGCTTAATGAGGTTAATATCCATTTCCCAGTTACTTTATTATGTTTTGTTTGGATGTACAGAATTTACACTTGATAGCATATTTGGTTCATCCCCAACTTGCATTAGATCTATTTGGCTTTCATTTCTTCAGGTTTTTGAGATGATGGTAGAACCAACGCTGGTACAGCCTACCTTTGTTTTAGACTATCCTGTCGAGATATCTCCTTTGGCTAAGCCACATCAGAGGTACTGAACCATTTAATGACACATAATTTGTTTATAGTTCATATAAATAAGACGGAATCTTTTGTACCAAAATCAATCATCAATGATTATAATGGCAACGAGTTGATGCTACCTTAAACAGTTGCCAAAAAAGATAACCGTACATTTATTTCAGAACGTATGAAAAGGAAATAGTTGCATTTGGTGTGCAGGCATATAGGTTTAACAGAGAGATTTGAACTATTCATTTGTGGTCGTGAGTTGGGGAATGCGTTTTCTGAATTAACCGATCCTTTAGACCAGGTATCTTTTTGATCTCATTTACTCGCTAAAATCACATAACAGTTATAGAACTAACAAATTACGACAGAGAACACGCTTGGAAGAGCAAGTGAAACAGCATAATCAAAAGAGAGAGGCTGCAGCTTCAAAAGCCTTGGATACACAAGAAAAGGGATCGAAAGATGATGATGAAGATGTGTCTTACGAAGTGACTCTTGATGAAGATTTTCTAACAGCTCTGGAATACGGAATGCCGCCAGCTTCAGGAATGGTACAAATCCAATTCCTCCATTATAAATGATTTGAATTCATTTTTTGTTGAAATTGCAATAATGGTTGTTAAACCTGCAACTCTTTTGTTGGATGATGATGTTTTCATGGAGAAATTTTGATTTCAGGGACTTGGGGTGGACAGATTGGTGATGCTTCTTACAAACTCAGCCAGTATCAGAGATGTTATTGCTTTCCCTGTTCTTAAGATTCAGCAAGGATTCTAGTGCTTCATTTGAGATCTAAATAGAGTTTTTCTTTCAGATTCATGTGTTAGTCTTTGAAACTATGCTTGTTATAAACTCCACCCCTTTTCTGCTACAACAAATCAGAGGTGATTCTTTTGTTTGGAGTATATAAATTAAACTTAGACATATTTCGTACCTTAATGAGACTCGAACCCCTAATCTCCATGTAGGTGGGGGTTACCGGCAACCCGTGGCGGACCCACTATGGTATATACGGTGACACAGGCTTCCGCTTTGTTTGTTTATTTTAGTTTTAAAAAATTTGTGCAGAAGTTGACCACTTTCATTGTTACTTTATATTAATGTATTTACATTAATTTATATTTTATATGAGACATGATAGTGCTAAAGTATGTCATAGGAAGATGCCAAATAGAAAGAGGTGGTCATGTAAACGTATTAAAAGTGCTTTTGTGTGTTTTAGCACATATTCCCCTTTTTAAAAGTTCCAATAATACTTGGAAAAGGTATCTTAGCTTAAAATATGTTGCATAGAATCATACACTTGTTAGAAACAAGATTTGGAATCTTTTAGTGTTCGTTGATTTTTTTGGTTTGTAGGATTTTGAATAAAATTGATTCATTATTTATAGATATTTTATAAAATGAGGGTTTATAAATAATTACAGTTAATTTTTAGAAAACAAATCTTATGAAATCCCTTGTATGGATGTACCCAATGAGATCCGTAAATCCAATATTTATGGAATATCATATACTTCAATTCCACACTTCCATATTACACCAGATGGAAGATTGTTTTCAAATCTTGCAAACGAAACGAACCCTTAACTCTTGAGATACATACATTTAGATCACATGTTTCAATTAATTACAATTAGGTCTTTCTTGATGACCTCATTTGAACCGACCATTACATCTCGACCCTATTTTGAGGTGTTACACAATGACAAGGAATCTATTGTGATAGAATCGTAAAGTTGTCTCTATTCTAAAATTTTCTGAATGATGTAAATTACAAGTTTATCCTTTGCATAAGAATTAGAAAAAAACTTGATCATTATGTACACGCAATACTACGATATGATGAGTCGAACAAATTAGACTCGGATCCTATAAACCCACTAGACCTCAGCCAACCATGACGCCACCTCATTGACCCCACCAACCAAGATCTGTTCATTCCCCAAGGAAAGAGTCAAGATTGCAAATCTTCAACTTCAATTTCATTCCCATTTGCGTAAACAAACCATTTTTCTGATTTGCAATAATTCATCAAGAAATACCATAAAACAGCACCAACCGTCATCAACCCACTCACCAAGAACACAATCTTTGTAGCAATCACCATTATCAGCACCAAGAATGCCGACGGAACTAAGCACATCACCACTAGCCCAGGGATCCCCAATGGCACCCTGTACGGCCGTTTCAGTGTCGGAAACTTCCTCCGTAGCCATACAAACGATGCAAACTCCAACAACATCCCTAGACTATATATAAAATTTGCTGAAGCTACTATATCTGTAAAATCCATATGAGAAAAACCCACTGTAATCAAAGTTGATATCAAGATCCCCACCCATGGAGTATCGAACCATTTTGATCTAACACCGAAGAACTTGGGCAGAAAACCTAAATCCGCCATACCCAGAAGTTGATAAGCACAGCTGCTTAATTGGGCTTCGAATAAACCTACTGCTGATAGCACAGCTCCGATCTCGATCCAAATCTTTAACCATTTACCYGAKATCATCTCTGCMGCMACMGCCATGAACCCTGATTCCCAWTSGTTTTGATCYACCGWAACAGCCCCWGTGACSGCYAYSAGAGGGAKTATRTAAGCTAARCAAGTCAGGATCACGGMRRARAASAGTGCYGWYGGGAAAGTCTTKTTTGGKTTTTCGACTTCWCCGGCCATSGTACTKACGSTGTCCCAGAAATTYAAGTTCCARAAAAGGGTATTRAAGWACAAGTTCCAGTCTTTYTTRACACCCWCTTGSCCCAWACTTAACCACCGGTGTGGCCGGATTTGCGGGATGGCGATAAGTGACATGAGAATGAAGGGGAAAAGAGAGATGATTCCGAGAGTGATTGCGGCAAAACCGACTATATTCAGGCCAGTATAGTTGACGAAAGATAAGAAGAGGGTGAAGAACAAGATTGCTAGAGTTCGAGGTAAGCCGGAGGAGAAGATCGGAAACAATTTCTCCATGTAATCGATGCAGAGAATCGGGAATGCTGCGATATTGATAACACCTGTGAGATATTTCCAGCTACCCATCAAAGAACCACAGAAGGGACCGAATGCTTTGTGGGCCCAGATAACGAAACCGCCGTTGCCGGGGAAGGTGGTGGAAAGTTCTGCGGTGACGAGAGCCTCCGGGATACTCCATATAAAGGGGAAGATGAGGAATCCGAGGATGGCTAGCAGCGGACCGGCCGCCTTTACTGCTGGTTCTTCGCCGTAGGGGCCACCGGCGACTTCGAAGTAGATTAGAAAGATGAGTGGGATGAGAGTGAGTTTTTTGTGGTTTGTGGCGGAAGTGGTGATTGATTGGTTGGTTATGGGGATCGTTCCGGCTGTCACGGTGGCAGACGGTGGTTGGTGGCCGGTGGGAATGGGTGAGTTTGGTTTGTCCGATTGGATATCAAAACCCATGATTCGATCAGGTCAGAAAGATGAGTTGTGTTGTGTCACCGTCCAAATTTATAGAAAGAGAAATCCTTCAATGGCGTCACCATCCAAATTTGTAGTGAATGTTCAAGTTGAATTGATGCCCCCTGTTACATTCTTCCTCCCTTACCTCAATTAATTTTTTTAATTTTGAAGTCATAGAAAAATATGTTTTTCAATAAATTATATTATTTTTAAAATTTATTTATTTTAAATATTTTTGGGTCCAAGTTGACTACTTATCACGTTTATTACGTGTACATGGGCATTCATAATTTGGATGGATGCATTTTTCTACTTGTTTTGATTATTTGAGTAAATATTAAAATATAACGAAATTTATTTTGATATTTATTTATCGTAACAAATAATTTTTTTTGGTTAATGTAATAAAATTTTAAAATTTCGTTTTTAATGTAATAAAGTTTCAAAAAAATTCACTTGTTGGTGGTAGAGATGAACTCAAATAAATGGTTAAAGATTTGGATCGAAATCGGAGTTGTGTTATCGGGAGTAGATTTATTTGAAGCCCAATTAAGCAGTTGTGCTTATCAAGTCTTGGTATGACATATTTAGGTTTTTTACTTAAGTTTTTTGGTGTTGATCAAAATGGTTTGACACTCCATGAGTGGGATCCTGATGCCAACTATGATTACTTTGGTTTTTTCTTATATGGATTTCACAGATACATTAGCTTCTATAGACTTTATATACAACCTAGGGATCCTGTTAGGAGTTTTTGCATCTTTTGTATGCCCGATAAGGAAGTTTTTGACACTAAAACAGCCGTATAGGGTGCCATTCTGGATCCCTTTGTTGGTGGTGATGTGCTTACTTATGTCGGCTTTCTTTGGTGCTAATAATGATGATTGCAAAAAAGATTGTATTTTTTGCTACAAAGATTGTGATTTCTGATCTTCTCCTCTGGCTTACCTCGAACTCTAGTAATCTTGTTCTTCACCCTCTTCTTATCTTTCCTCAACTAAACTGACCTGGATACAGTCGACTTTGCCCCCATCACTCTTGGAATCATCTCTCTATTCCCCTTCATCTTATGTCACTCATCGCCATCCCCCAAATTCGGCCACACGGGTGGAGGAGACCATCGAGAGTGATCACAATGCTCTTGAAAGAATAAAATCACGATATGGTGAATGTGTGTATTTGGAGATAGAAATGATAAAATGGTGATTTTTTCTAAACATTTTCCTCAGCTGGAATTTATTCAACGAGCTTCACCTATTTTGAGGGAACACTCGAAAAGAAAAAATAGAGTGTAAACTTGATGAAGCCTATAATAGTGAAAGTTGTAGATGCCAAAAATGAGTCTCCAACTCCAAGCAAAGCAAATTAGATTTTCGTGGTCCAAGAAGAGTGATTTTAAAAGAAATACAATCTCTTAAAATAGGGAAAAGAAAATTTGTCGAAAAGCGTCGTTTTGAGAAGTTATGAACAGTATTCACGCACGTGTCCCTACAAAGTCTTGCGCCCAAGCAGCTCTGCCGAAACTTGTTGCCTCTAAAAAACATGTTTTACATGACCGCAAAAGAATAAGCTATATGTCCACGTTCAAATTTAATAGACTATCCAAAAACCATAGGATATGAAGGCTTCAATTAACAACAATAATAAAAACATATTTAGACTTTTTTATTTTATTTTGACCAACTTTCAAATTGAAGGGTAAATTTGTATTTTACAAAAAGACAACCTTATAATTCTATCATAATAGATTCCAACTCATGGTGTAACACCTAAAATAGGGTTCAGATTACATGAGGAATTGGAGATTACACCTCAAAATAAATTAATTCCATGTTGCATATTAGTTAAATATAAAGTAAAAATGAAGTGGTCAACATTCTGCACAAACTTTGGAACATTTCTAGCAAAATTACATCTTTACCCTCACTAACCAATATAAGATATTGTTTATGGTAGAGGTTTAAAATAGAACGATATCACGTTAAGGGAAAACCTTAAAGATACAGTCATCGCATGTGATACTGTATGAAGACGATTTAGATCGGTTCCCAACTCAAGAAAATAAGTCCTTGTAGCTTCTTTCACTAGATTGTGCATTGTTTCCCTCTTCTACGGCCTTTCCAGACTAACTTCTATGCTCTACACGTAAGTCGGTGATTTTCAAACACCATCTGTGGTAATACAAATGGAAAACAATAAAAGAAAATCAAATTTGAAAGTAATACTCAACAACTTAACATTCATTTTAGAGGTTAACAGCAAAAACACAGAAGTTCTCACACCTGATAATCAACACTAAGCTTCCAATGAACTTGCAAGATGAGAAGATTAACGGTCAAAACAAGTATATAAAATAGAAAATTTTCAAACTTTATTATACCGATTAAAGAAAAAAAATCGTTACATTAGCTAATAATTAAATCAAACTTTGTTACATTTTGATATACATTTTACTATAGTTATTTTCTTTCACACATATAGGAAGTTTCAAATATAAAATATGTAATTTACAAACGCTACAAACTAAATCTTGACGGTTGATTTTATCTCCACTAGGTAACAAAACAAGTTATAGTGATAGTTTTGGCTTTATGCAATAATTGTGATGAATCAATATGGCTGGTAGCGCCACTGCCAATAATCCAGTTAGGAGAATTGACTTTATACAAACCTGTTTTTTTTTCATTAACTTGAATATCCAACTTGTTATACGAGCCGACTAATCCCAGGGCAACCATCTGCTTTGCGGGTAGTCGGGAGTCATCCCATTTGAATCTCCGTGGCCACAAATGGATTTTTGTTCCTCCTTGGATTTGAACCTGTAACCTCCAAGCAATTTTGACCTTTGGAGCTCAAGCTTAAACCAATCAGGCACCACCATTGTGGTTTACAAACCTCTTTTTGTAGCATTAGTTTTGGAACAGAACTTGAATCAGATTCAAATTTAACTCCTTGAATGTTGAGTATCGAAAGGAGTTGGTGGAAACATGTGTATTAGCCTAGTGGCCCAACTCTTTGTCAAACATACAGAGAGGATGACCTCTCCTTGTGCATGTGCCTAGACTCGAACCATTATAGTGTATGTCTTTACGACGTCAGTCTCCAGCAGGGTACCAACCTTCTAGAGACCGTTATCTCAATTGCCTTCACTTGAGTTCCTTGACAGGTATTGCAACGAAACTTCATTTTCTTATCAAACCGTTACCTTAAAGTATTGCAAGTTGAGAAAATTGTGTAAACGTTTTGTTAACAATAATATAATATTGAACGACATTAAAGAAAAGTGTACTTCTAAAAACAATCATAGAATGGAAGAAACGGGTTGTGTTTGTAACTTGTAAGCAAAACGAGTGTTTCAGATTTATAAGTAGTTAATAGTTTAATAACCGTGTCAAAAGAAACATACCATGTCTCACTAATTTTGTATGGACGCATATATAAAGGAGGTAGTTTTCTTACTTTTCGTAAGTGTTGTATTATTAAATAAAAAGACGGGATATTATTTAATTTTTTATATATAAATATATTAAGTTTTGATAAAAACAAGAATTTTTATTTTCGCATTGAACCTTAACACGATGAGTTTTATATAATGGATCATGCGTCTGAAAAGAGCTAATGGAAAGTGGACGGGACAGGAATGGTCAAACCAGTCGTAATCGTTAGCCCTTGACTTTTTATATTGTCATAAACTTATTTTGAAGACCATTGTACCATAAACTTGTGCAATTTGTTGAAAACGAATAGCAAGGTCTATGTGTGTGTCTATATAGTTAGGGGTGGATTCAGTAAAGGCTCTCAATGGAAGTTCGTGCAACTGCAATTTTTTCACGCTCTTTAAATATCATTTTGTTTCGTTCTAGCGGCACCCAGTATGGCCGTTTCAGTGCTGGAAACTTCAGTAGTAGCCATACAAATGATGCAAACTCTAGTACGTAACATCCCCCAAACTGTATATAAAGTTTGTAGATGATATAATGTATTCAAAGTCCATATAAGAAAACCCTCTTGTAATCAAAGTTGATCCCAAAATCCCAACCCATGGAGTACTGAATCGCTTTGATCTAACCTCAAAAAGATTTAGTAAAAATCCTAAATCTGCCATACCCAAAATTTGATAAGCACAACTGCCTAATAAGGCTTTGAAAATACATTAAGAGATACAAAAAATGATTACGACTGGTTTGACCACTCTTTCCACAAGCTCTTTTGAGACACACGATCCATCATATAACACTCATCGTGGTATAGTCCAATTCAGAAAGAAGAAGAAAAAAAACTCTTGTTTTGCAATTCTAAGCAAATTCACATACACTAGTTAAAATCAGTTGCAGTGACATCACAATATCACATGTAGATCACTTATCGATTTGATTTAGTTCTTTCTTTTCAGGACTTTGCACCGGATGTTTCCCAAACGAATACTGTAAGACCAGTAAATTCAATAATAGAGTGACCTTTAAAACTTCTTATTTAATAAAACGTAAATATAGGTTTTAAAAGTTTGATCCATTTAAATGTATTTATTTTTAAGCATACAAGTTAAAAAGTCAATTCTAAAATCAGTGTAAAACCATGCGTACTGCAAATACAGATTTTCCTTTTACAGTATATTAAAAAGTAATAATGCAACTATTTTTGGGCATGCACATGTGAATTCACTTTTTATAGATAGATCATAACGTTCCCGAATGTAAGAAAACTACCTCCTTTATATATGTGTCCGTAAAAGTCGTAGAAAATTAGTGAGACATATATGTTTCTTTTGACACATCATTAAACTATTAAGTATGTATATGTTTGGAACACCTGCTTTGCTTACAAATATGACTCTCTTCACTGTTTTCTTCAATTCTATGATTTTTTTAAAGTGAATTTTTCTTCGATATCGCTCGAAATTAGATTATTGTTAACAAGGTGTTTACACAATTTTTTCAACTTGCAATAGTTTGACTTTAAGGTAGCGGTTCGATAAGAAAATGAAAACTCATTGCTTATTGTTTTTCATACAATCAAAATGGAATTGATTTGAGTTGCGGTCAATTTTTTGCAATAATTAGCAAAAACACATTTCTTTCTTACGATTCATATATTATAAGTTCAATACTGTGATCACGAAATTCATTAGGACCAATTTTGTATTATATATATTATATTATAAAACATTTGACAAAAATTCTTAAAAATCATTTTTCTTATGCATGAAGTACTGTTTATTGATGCATATTATTTCAGAATTTATAAAAAAAAAAAAGGTAACACAAGTTTCCAAAATTCTCTAAGATATTATTATTTTTGTTTAGAAAAAGTAAAATAAAAATTGATTTTTCACGCATTATTAACTGATAAATCAAAAAAAAAATAAAGTTTTTAAAAGAGAAATAAGAATTAGGAGTTATTTTAGTATTTGTTTAACGATTTCAAGCTCATCCAATCCTTGATACCACCATATTCATCAATTCCACCAAGCCAGAGGATTTATTTCACTACCTAATCTCAAGCTCATCCATGACGATTGAGTCGCCACCATCCGCCGCCGTAGCTACAACCACCGCCACCACCACAGGGGATGTCATCCCTGTAACCATTCCTTCAACAACAACCGCCGTCAAAAGCCACAAGAAACTCACGCTCATCCCACTCATCTTTCTTATATACTTTGAGGTTGCCGGTGGCCCTTATGGAGAAGAACCGGCGGTCAAGGCGGCCGGACCACTCCTCGCCATCCTCGGATTTTTAATCTTCCCCTTCATATGGAGTATCCCGGAGGCTCTTGTCACCGCCGAACTCTCCACCACCTTCCCCGGCAACGGTGGTTACATCATATGGGCAGATAGAGCTTTTGGTCCCTTCTGTGGATCTTTAATGGGTACCTGGAAGTTTCTCACCGGCGTTATCAATCTGGCAGCATTCCCGATTCTCTGCATTGATTACTTAGAAAAATTGTTTCCGATCTTCACGTCGGGATTACCTCGAACCCTAGCCATCTTGTTCTCCAACCTCTTGCTCTCGTTTCTCAACTTCACCGGTCTGAATATCGTCGGTTATGCAGCCATTACTCTCGGGGTCATCTCACTTTTACCCTTCGTCATCATGTCGCTTATCGCCATCCCGCAAATCCGGCCACACCGGTGGTTAAGTATGGGGCAAGTGGGTGTCAAAAAAGACTGGAACTTGTACTTCAATACCCTTTTTTGGAACTTAAATTTCTGGGACAGCGTAAGTACGATGGCCGGAGAAGTCGAAAAACCAAACAAGACTTTCCCAACGGCACTGTTCTCTGCCGTGATCCTGACTTGCTTAGCTTATATACTCCCTCTGGTAGCCGTCACTGGGGCTGTTACGGTGGATCAAAACCAATGGGAATCAGGGTTCATGGCGGTGGCTGCAGAGATGATATCGGGTAAATGGTTAAAGATTTGGATCGACGTCGGATCTGTTTTATCCGCTATAGGTTTATTCGAAGCCCTATTAAGTAGTTGTGCATATCAGATTTTGGGTATGGCAGATTTAGGGTTTTTACCAAAGTTTTTTGAGGTTAGATCAAGATGGTTCAATACTCCATGGGTCGGGATTTTGGTATCCACATTGATTACAATAGGTTTTTCTTATATGGACTTTACGTACATTATATCATCTGCAAACTTTATATACAGTTTGGGGATGTTATTGGAGTTCGCTTCATTTGTATGGTTACGACTGAAGTTTCCGGCACTGAAACGGCCGTACCGGGTGCCACTAGGGGTGCCTGCGTTGGTGATAATGTGTTTGGTTCCGACAGTGTTTTTAGTGTTGATAATGGCGATTGCTACAAAAATGGTGTATTTGACTAGTGGGGTGATAACGCTTGGTGCTATTTTATGGTATTTTTTGATGAAGTTATGCAAGTCGAAGAAATGGTTGACTTTCAAAAACGGTGACCAAATTGAAGTCGATGAAGATGAGTAATCATCCAAGATTAAATTCGTAATTCGTACGAGTTAATTTTATTTTTATTTGTTTTAATTTCTTTTGAAGGGTTTATACATAGTTGATCCTTGAATTCTCTTTATTTTAGCCATTTAGCTTTTTATTGCATACGATTGATGTATGTACGATAAATTACAAACTATAAAGATGAAAACGATGATTTTTAAAACACATGGACAAATAGAAGTTATAAACAAACTATAAGGATGAAAATTGTAATTTACTCAAATGGAAATCAGACAAACGACGTCGTATTCCAAGCCATTTCCCATTCTTTTTCTTCGAAATGAATTTCAATTTGAATGTGTAAAGCCCAATGGGCTAACAAATGGAATATGGGTCGTCAGTCGGATTCAGTTCCCCCATGCCATAAAGCTAAAAGATCCGATCCATTCATTACGGATGCAAAATTCAATACCATTTTTCTGGGTTGATCAGATTGTAGGTGCAGTTCAATAAATTGAAGTTACAGGAGATTCAAAGTTGTTGATTTGATCATCACCTGAGTTCAAACCGAATTCGTAAATGGAATCACTTGCTGTAAAGCATTTGATTTGTAATTATACGACTTATGGTATGGTGATGCCGGTTAGGAATCCTCCAACTTCTACCCGTGTCGCTAAGATTGGGGATCAAAATCGGGGTATGAGTTTTGTTCTTCATTCGAAGAAATCAAAATTTCAAGGTAAATAAATACTAACCCTAGATCGAAATTCGATGTAGATGTGTCCTGATTTGTAAGGTAAGTACTAACCCTATATTCATGCTTGCTGAATCAGAGATATCCTCCAGAAATTTTATATCCCATCAGGTTCAAACACGAGTACTCTTCGAGTTTTGCATGGCAAAAATCAATATAATTGAAGGCTAATAATTTTCTATTGTGTAATATCTGGCTTGAATTTTAAGAACTCATCAAAATTTCCATGAAAACTTCTGGAATACGCTAATATTGAGAAATTCCACTCGCTTGAACTCAAAAAATTTAAGGGTAGCTCTTTGTCCAAACAGATGGAATATGATGATGTTTATGAATTATTTTAGAGCTTCCAAGGGTTACCAGTAGGAAAGGATTGTAAGTGTCACCTTTGGATGAGAAGTGGCATTTAACCACTTTTATAATTATTTTAGTGTCACTCTGGCATATTGTAATGACGTTTTTTGGGTGCATAAATATTCAACATATAGATGCTTGGTGCCATCATTTATAATTATCCACTACATAGATAGTGAAAATTTTAGCATAGGTTTGTTGTCATTAATTTCTTGAAATCAGGTGGAACTTAATCGCTTCTGTAAGTAGACTAGTTATTGGTTAATTGCTTGTATTTAGCATTTTCTGGATCATGTTTATGACCTTTGTATGTATTTTCTTTGTGCCTTATTCTGTTTTTTCATTCCTTTTCTGCCGCTTAATATGTGCCCTTTCCTTTTCTCTCACACTTTGGCACAAGCCGGTAGTCTTCACAGACACAGCCATTCTACCCTTTGGGGGTAGACTGTAGAGGTCAGGAGCGCGTACATCCGACCCCACACTGACCCTGCTTTCAAGTGGGATGTATTGTATTTGTTTTGTTTGGTTTATACAAGCAAAATCCCGACTATGTCATACCTTGTCTCTTGTAGTGGTTGGGGATTTATCTCCCCTTTATTAGTAAAACGCAACTTGGAGGCTAAGGGCCTTAAGCAGGTCATGCTACTCTTTGGTAGTGGGTTTGCAGTTTCTCTATATAAAAAAAATGTCGGACTTCCGTTAGACATTTATTAACACGAAGAATGCACAAGGAATATCATCAAAGCATTGCCTTTCATTAGGGCTGAAGCTAACATTTTTGTAGCAAATCTTATCAAGTTAAGATGGTGTATCTTTTGAGTAGCACATGTTTGACACCATAATTATAGATGTTTGCAATTTCTCAATTCACATATATTTGAAGTTGCATATCGGAATAGGAAAGCATAGCCAATTTTCAAATTATCTTGTTCAGTTTCTAACTACTTCAGATAGATGCTGACAACACACCATGTTTTCTTAGGATTTTTTTGCTATTAGCCTGAGCACCCGTAAGGATTTTTGCTCTAACACAAACAAAAATGCGTTCAGCAAATAGAGGTTTACTATTAAGAAATTAGCTCAAATTCGTATTTTTCATCCTAGCCTTACGAGTTGTGTCACTTCAGATTTTCAGGGTTATGCAAGACCTGCTCGCCTTTTGCCAGCCTATGAAGTGAAACCAACCACAGATTCTTCACTGGAGAAGCTAGTCACATCTTTTAAAGAAGACAGACTTGAGTGTTTATACAAGCTCACGATTCAAACGAGTAATTACTATGGATCTGGTCTGACTGACCCGAATTCTGGAATATTGCTTTGTTTGGTAGACGAAAACGGTGATTCAATCTTACAAAGGATAGCAGCAACCTTAAATACAGGCCATCCTCTGCAATCAAAAGACAAGGATGCTTCCGATATACTCCACTTTAGAAGGGGATCTCTTGATCATTTCACATTTGAAGGACCTACAATTGGAAAGCTTGAAGCTCTTTGGATTGGCCTTGAATCAGGTTAGATAATGGCAAGATCATTACATATGAATACCAAGAAAAAAGTTTTAAACATGTATCGTGTTTAATTACTATATTTCAGGTCAGTGGAGACCAGCAGGTGTGAGCGTTATTTCTTGGTCACGATCTTCTTTAAAAGAAAATGACAGTCATCCGTATGGTATTTTCCAGTATGATTTCATGGCTGATGACATTCTTCTAGGAGAGGGAAACGATATTTCCATGGTGGAACTTAGACCAGACATTGTGACCAAGCTTTCTGGGGACAACTTGACCTTAAATCAAAACATTTCCCCGGCATCTTCACTCTGGAGCACGAGCAACTTATCTAACGAAGAAAGCATGAAAGAGTATGCAGATTTGAAGTTCTCATTGTTGCTTTATGATGCACTCCTTATCGTTGCTGGATCAACAATTGCATCATTCTCTGCTGGTGAAAATGCTGCATTTGCTTTCTTGACGGGTGGAATTGGTGGTTTTCTTTATCTTTTACTGTTGCAGAGATCCGTTGATGAACTGCCATCTCCGGTGCTGGACAGGACCGGTGGTCTTGATCAAATGTTTGGACGGTTCAAGGGTCAGGTGACGACTCTGATTTTGGCACTTGCATTTGCTGTTATTGTGGTTAAACTTGGTTCTGGAGATCAGTCACTGGTTTTGACACCTAAAGATATTGTTGTTGGGATGATGGGGTTTCTGTCATCCAAAGTGGCGGTTGTCTTGGCCGCCTTTAAACCGTTGCCGGTGGGCGCAAAGGATAGCAGGTAGGACTGATTAGCAAGAAAGTAGTTAGTCTGTGTATATATACACAAAACAGATGTATAAACTACATTTCAGCAAGGCATATATTGTGATAGATTGATAAATAATAACTTCACAAACGCTAAAACAGTCGTTCTATCATTTAGGGCAGATGTCAGGTTTGCTTACATCTTACCCCCAGACTCCACCTTGAAGTGAGATATATTGGGTTATGCTTGTTTGGTCTGGTTTAATCATGTTTCTTGTCCACAACGAGTTCAATAAGAGCATATTTACTTTACAAAGCACAATGTGGTGTCTTGTATGCTTAACTTGTGGAAAGCCTAAGAAGAGCATTGGGTTGCTTGGAAGACATCGTTGGGTCTTTATCTAGGTATCGTTACTTGCACGTCTACTTGGGTCTTATCAAACGTCTTTACTCAATAATGACGGCAAAAAGGATATATATCTACCTGGAAGTGATAAGTCGGCTATGGCTGTTTCTCTTGTTCTTAGGAATGTCGATGATGGTGACAAATTGTTGAATTAGAAATTTTGATGTCCAAGTTCAATACGACAATCATCATGTGTTAGACAGTTAGATACTCGGTTTGAATCTTATATTTAAATATTGTCAGATAACAAATGAAAGTTATATATTAATAATGAAAATAAAACTTATATAGAAATCATGTTTCCATAAAATGGATTAAAAATGCGTTTGCCGGGAGTCGAACCCGGGTCTATTGCTTGGAAGGCAATTATCCTAACCGTTGGACTACAAACGCTCTTATGTTTGTAGTCTTAAATCTTAACATATCTATATGCTTCTATTCGATGATTTACTATAACTGTGTTTATCGACAACCCCAATCAGTCTTACACGAAACCTGTTTTCAACGGTACTTATGTGAAGGAGCCATCTTTTGGCTCATTCGACGGTTGAGGCTAGTAGAAAAAGGGAGGGGCCTTAAGGTTGAACCTAGAACATGTCTTGTATTTGGATAAAGTTCAACACCCTTTTGCCAACTGAACTAGATGCTAAACGCCAACTTTTTATCTTTGTTTATGGACAATCGATTGACTTATTTTCATTAATTAATTTATCATACGAATAAAAATAAAAAATAACTGGGACACATATTAATCAAATTCTATACGCATTCTGCCAATAATTTATACAAAAGAATCTAAACCAAAACACTTGTTCTTGATACCATCAACGGGAAACGTATCCTTCGTTGAAGATAACGTCAGAAACCAGAACCATTTTAATATGTTAATCTTGTATTCATATTGCTCTTATAATTATTTAAAAGACAATAACGTTAAAGCTCATGGGTTCTTAATCTTTTGTACAGATTGGATGATGACAAAAGCTTTGTAGAAGCACCCAAACGAAAACAAGGGGAATCAAAGGTTACAAGATCCTCAATTCGGTTGCATATAAAGACAGTTTCCTCTCGTACATACACACACACACACACACACACATATATATATATATATATATATATAGGATGATGTATGTAGTAATGAAAAGGGAAGTTTAAATAATGAAGACGTCATGTAATACAAACACTTTAAACTAATATAACAAGTCCGATTACTGTGTCGATATGTGATGGTTGTTAGTTTATGTATTCCCCAAGTACGGGTCATGATTGCCGGCATTTATAGTTAACAGCGACCGAAACTACAGTGGTCCATATACAGACGTAATCATAACCAAGTCTTAATTATAAACCGCGAACCTAATTGTTTATATAAACCCGAACCTAAAGTTGTTTATAAAAATATTGTTTCTGGTGTATGGTATGAAAGGGATGTAGACAAGGTGATGAGTTATATATATATTATATCAATAGTATGAAAGGGATGTAGAAAAGGTTATTGAGTTACATATATGATATGCTATATATATATCAAGTGTATCACAAGAGGGTTTAAAAGCCATTTCTTGGAGATCATTCCAAAAATATAGAGCAATTTCTTAAGAAGGTATTGAAAAGAAAAGTAGGTCTGAGTGAGATCATCTCCAGATGTCATCTGCAGTATCCATTTTAGCTAAGCCTTGTACCATAGGATCAGTGATCAACAATGGCAGACACTCACATCAAGAGTTCACAATAACAGCTAGGGTTGTAGCACCAAAGAGACCATCTTTGCCTGAGTTATCGATAAAAGGCATTCCTCACACTGATCTACATGTTCGAGAGATCGTTCAAAGACAGTTGCGAACACGAAGCAGTGATCATGCTGGTTGCAGAAAGCCCGAGTTCCATCCTGTGTTTCTTGAAGACGCTTATGATCGGTGCAGAGATATTTGTGCTGAATATGCCAAGACTTTCTATCTAGGTTAGACGACCCTTCATTTTCCCTAAAATGGTTTCCTAATATGGAAAGTTATGTAGATTATTACTTTGGTGCTGAGTTTGCTTTGAAACTTGACAGGAACCAGGCTAATGACTGAGGAAAGACAGAAAGCAATATGGGCCATATATGGTAAGTACATGCATGAAGACCTAATTTAGCAAATCTTTTTCATGTGGGTATAATATGCTCTTATGAGATCTTAAAACAAAATCAAGAGATACACGTGGGTGTGTTCTTTTGAGATCAAATCAAGAAATCTTTCTTCACGTGGGTGTCTTCTTATGAGATCATAAAAAAATCAAGAAATCTTTTTCATGTGGGTGTGTTCTTATGAGATCAAAAAACAAAATTCAAGAAATCTTTTCCATGTGGGTGTGTTCTTGTGAGATCATAAACAAAATTCAAGAAATATTTTCCATGTGGGTGTGTTCTTATGAGATCAACAAAACAAAATTCAAGAAATCTCTTTCATGTGGGTGTGTTCTTATGAGATCATAAACATAATTAAGGTGATCTGCATGCAGTTTGGTGCAGGAGAACAGATGAACTAGTTGATGGACCTAATGCAATGCACATGAGCGCTGCGGTTCTCGACCGATGGGAAGAGAGGCTCGAAGATCTATTCGATGGCCGGCCCTTTGACATGCTTGATGCTGCCCTTACCGACACAGTTCACAAGTTTCCACTAGACATTAAGGTACATACCACCTTAATTACTACAATCAAACTACATCTAAGTTCACATGATTCGTAAAGACTAAAAGAAGTTATCTTTTTCGGGTTTTCAGCCTTTCAGGGACATGATCGAAGGCATGAGAATGGATACTAGAAAAAACCGTTACGAAAATTTCCAAGAACTTTACCTATATTGCTACTATGTTGCTGGAACAGTTGGTCTGATGAGTGTTCCTGTGATGGGTATCTCTCCAGAATCATCATCATCTGCATCAAGCATCTATAATTCCGCTCTCAATCTTGGCATCGGAAATCAGCTCACGAACATACTTAGAGATGTAGGAGAAGAGTAAGTTTTTCCATCTGATTATGAATCTACTCCAACCCCAATCTCCACATTCGCCATCATCATCATCATTATCGATCATCTGTGTTTTTTTTCAGTGCATTAAGAGGCCGAGTTTATCTTCCTCAAGACGAACTATCACAATTTGGGCTAGGTGATGAAGATGTTTACTCAAGAAGGGTGACCGATAACTGGAGAGAATTCATGAAAGGGCAGATTAGAAGAGCTAGATTTTACTTCAACCAAGCCGAAGAAGGAGCTTCTAAGCTTGACAAAGATAGTCGTTGGCCGGTATGAACATTAATTCTAACTCAATTTTTTTAATAGAATCATCTATCTGGTGTCTCAATCTGCGGTTTAATTTGTGATTTCAGGTCTGGTCATCGTTGTTGTTGTACCGCGAGATCTTGGATGCTATTGAGGAGAACGATTATGATAACTTGACGAAGAGAGCTTACATCGGTAGAACAAAGAAACTTCTCATGTTACCTTTATCGTACTCTAGATCTGTATCGACCGGTTTTGCTTTCCATTAGATTTCGGACTGCAATATTCGTGTTGATAGAATACAGATATTTTCCCGGTTAAAACAGTTCATGTATTTCATATATATCAAGTGTATATTTGATCATAAGGATCTTTTGACACAAGAAATCTTAGTGGGCTACTTTGTGACTATAGTAGAAACTACAAAAAGAATTTGTGTATAGAATTTGCACTAAATATAACGATTAGCATATCATTCCGGGATAACCTTCATCCACTCGAACCTAAAATAACCAACGAAAGGGTCGTTCACTAAATGCTTACTCGGATAAGCACGTACCAAGTCACATTACCTTATTGAATGAATATGACAAACCAAAAATCTTATCCGGTAAGAGCGAAGCAAGGAGCGAGAGTCTTACTCGGTAAGTGAGAACGACTCTTATCACGGTTAGCGCTTACCGGATGAGTGTTTGATAAACAGCCCACAAAAAAAAATATGCACAAAAAAGCTCAAGCTTGAAGCCCAGCCCTGGCCCTGCCCAGGCTTTTAAAGCCCCACCAGGCCAAAACTTTCCAAAAAAAATCCGGCCTGAACCGGCCCGTTTGGTCCCAATCCCATAACGTTAACTATCAATTGGTCTCTGCATCGGTCCTTTGACCAGGCTAACCCGTTCAAAGGTCCCAGAAGAAGGTTAGCCAGTTGGGGTCCTTTGCACCACCTCCAAGAGGGTGGCTAACCCTGGTTGGTATTACACAATACATGATGTACCTACTGCCTAGTTTAAGAAGTGTAGATGACAAAGAATGAGTGAACCTTGGGAAGAATTTAATAGCAAGTATTCTTAATTAACTAAGGTCACAAAGAATTATAAGAAACAGCAAAAAGCAGGAAAAGGAAAAGACATCAATCAAACGACCGACATTTATCTTTCCTCTACAAACAAGAAAACTGAAAGAAAAAATGATACTGCGTTTGTGCAGCAGCAAATTACACCAAGATCGCTGCCTCATTTCCCAGTAAAACGATGATGATGATGATGATAATGATGATTATGCCCTTTTTCATTTTGCGTATTTCCCATGAGCCAGTTGAATCAAGATAGCATCATAAGAAATAATCTGGCGTCCTACGGGTCACATCTGGCTCTCCCCGCCTTGGAGCTGGTTCAAACTGAAATTCAAAACCCTCCTTAGTCCTTAGTTCTTACCAATTACTATCTAAAATATATGAAAACTGATCCCAAAACTCACCATAAACAGCAAAGCACACAAATCATCACCCACCCTCTAAACTAGAATCAGTAGTGAAGGTATGTGCAGGTTCAGTGTTTTTCATGGTTAAGGTATATGCAGGTTTAGGGCCCGTTTGTTAGTAGGCTAGTAGCTTAATGCGCTTAATGAGACTAGCAGCTTATTTGGTCAACTATACATGACTGTTTGGTAGTGGTTTATTCCGTGAGCTTCTAGGGGAGAGCTTTATGCAGAAAGTCAAGTTTTTTTTTTCCAACCATTCCCCTCGCAATTAAAAAACATGCTCATTTTATCTATGAAAAACTCTCTCAAACCAAAACCTTCCTAATCTATACATACAAATTAATGCACACAGACGTCTTTATCTATACAGAACCTAACGAAAAGCCAACCAAACAACCCCTTACGAAAAGTACAAGTATTTTTCACATTAACATATGTGCAAGTATGTGACGGTATGTGCAGGTTCAATGTGTTTTCCATGTGAACATATGCGAGTCTGGTCTACCTTACAGTCATGCCACTAAAGTTCCTCTTACTTCCAACAGATAAAAAATCATCAAAATGCTGAGAAGGTGTTCTCATGGTTTTCAAAAACAAATTTCACTTGATCCCATATCTATACTATATTATAAAGCATTTGAAAAAAACTCTCAAAAACCATTTTTTATGCATGAAGTACTGTTTATTAATGCATATTACTTAAAATTTAAGATTACAAGTAAATTGTGCATAAGTACAACTTATTAAAGATCGATTTTTTAATTGTATAACTAACTGCAGATAAACATAATCAAATACATGATAAACAACTCATTTTAAATATCAAAAATCTAAAATATAATTAGAATAATCATTGAGTGCTAATAGAATAATTATCTTTATAAAAATTATATTGTTAAGCCAAAAATAAATTACTTAACTATTAGAACTAAATTAAATTATAATAAAAAATTGTACAAAAAAACGAGAACTTTTAAATAGTTAATTTGATATTAATATCGATATAATTTTTCAAATTTTTATGTTATTTCAAATTTATTTTTATTCAAGAGTAAAAACATTATCTTTCTCAAAACCACATAAACCATATTATATCAACTAAACAAAAAATAAAACGAAACATTAAAATGAAGATGTATCTCGTTGCATTGCGTGAGTACCGTTCTAGTATATATATATATATATATATATATTGTGAGAGAGAGAGAGAAGGAGAAACCTGAATGAAAGTGTGACCCTTGCAATCATCTACTTCAAGGATTGAAGCCATGTTCCCACAACGGTAACAATAATTAGGTGCACTGAAAATCGTCACAACCTTTTGTTCCTGTTATAAGCAATCCATATGAAAAACACTTTCTTTGAACCAAAATTATGCCATCAAAAGAAGGGAGATCGTAAAGTTCTTACATGACCCCAGTTGAATCCCTCCATAACCAGCTGGTGTGCTCTTGCAATCAGCTTCAAGTTGTTGGTATGATTAAATTGCTCAGATATGTCCTAATATACGATATAAAATCAACGAAGTTTAGCAGCATCATGAAAGAAAATTGGGAATATGAAAGAAATGTCGAAGAGATACTTGGCCAAATGTATATCCAGCACCCCGAGGAGAGATACCCCAACCGCAGCGATCGTCAGGATCAGACCATAAAAGATCACACATGGGCCCCTCATGGGGCACTTCTTGAACACGATCGAAGTTCCTTATATTATCAAGAGTTTCAATGGAAGGGGATAATCCACCATGGAGACAAAAGATCTCAGACTCCACCTAAAAATTGATTCCATACGATTAAGAGTTGTATTGTTAAGAGTTACAAAAACCAGATTATGGAAATAAGATGAGTTAAGGGTTACTAACCAATGCAGTCAGCGGAAAATAGTCAAATAGATCCGTAAATGTCTTCCACACGTTAGCACTACCATATCTGCAGAAAATGCAACGATTCTCTTAGTGTGGAACTATATTTGACATTTGACCGTAGTCAAACGGTTCACTGAACTAGGAATGAATCGAATATAGCGAAAATGCATCAAAATTTGCTTTAGTTCCTATTCAGTGTGACGATTTTTTCTTAATCAGTGTAACAAACTTTCAATTTTTTTCTATTTCACAACCATTTTGACCACTATCAGCAGATCATGTAACTATAGATGACATGGTTGCCAACCCAAGTTGTCATGTTAAATTGTAATTCTTGATTACATGGAAAAATACCACATCAAAATCAACCGGTGTCACGTAGACTGAAAGTAAATTGGTACGAATATGAAGAACCTAACATTTGTTACACTAAATGAGAAAACCAAAGCAAAATTCTTTACACTTTGATCATTTTGCCAGTTGAATATTGCAACTTTTATGGAACGTCGAGAGTATTATATTGGCATACACAAACAAACAAGACACTTAAAGGCACTAAACCATGAAAAAGATAATGATAACAACTTGTTAAACAATATCGGGAACTCACTTCCTTAGGCATTCATCATAAAACCCATAAACTTGAGTGATCTGCAGAAACAGAAATATTATAGCTCTTGTAATTTCATAATTAAGAATTTTTATAACATGCAGAAAAGCAAACCTGCCGACTTTCATGGTTTCCTCTTAAAATAGTAATCCGCTGTGGATAACGCACTTTGAGAGCCACCAAGAGCTGAATGGACAACAAGACTCATATGAGAATAGAACCGATTTCTAAACACTTTGGTCCAACTGGTTTGTCCTCATCTGAGATCCTATCCGGTCATATACTTGAGTGACAATTGATTAAAATTCAAATATACAAAACACAAGAAGAAAACTAGAGGTTTAATACTTACAGTCACTGTTTCAACCGAGTAATAACCACGATCAACATAATCTCCCATGAACAAGTAATTTGTATCTGGGCACTGAAATGCAATTCTACACGTTAACTATCACCAAATTTTAACTTTTGAACAAGTAATTTGTATCTAAATCAAAATTTCTCTGCCTAAAGGTCATTTTTTTCTTCTCTTCTTTCTGAGACATGTATTGATATCAAAATCCGAAGTACCATATATATACTTTGCTCGTAACTTTCAGGGTTCTTATCAAAAAAGAATGATATAATTATCAACACTACACAAAATACCCATGTGAGAATAAGGGAACACGGCACAAACCTTCCCTCCAATCCGGAAAAGCTCTGCAAGATCATGAAACTGCCCATGAATATCCCCACAGATTGTCACAGGACTTTTAACCGGCTGCGAAAGATATATGCAGAAAGTCGATGAGTTTCATTATTCAGCCAAAATCCATCCCTGTTTGAGAGAAATGACATTTTTGTGCAACAAAAAACAGTCTGCACAAAAATTTAGGAATGATAGTACCAGAATATTTGGGAATGATAATAGATAGTCCCTGCATAAGACATACATCATCATTCTTTCATTAAATAAGTGAATCTAAGGATTGCCCAAATCTGCCCCTCCAATTGGATACTTGTTCAAACCATCAGAAGCATAATTCCTTATGATGATCTTTCAAGCACAGCACAACATTTAAATGTGTCCGAAGAAAGAAACACAGTCTAGAAATACCTTGCCACCTAGAATTCCCCCCCCCCAAAAAAAAATCACTACTGAAAAGGTTTTACATTGCCACAGCTTGCAAGCAAATTTAAACTTATTTATGTACTCCGGTATATCATTAAAGATTAGTAAAAGACTATTTCAGGTTCCTAATGGTATGGACAATAAAGAACAAGAAAACATAAAACCGACAATTCTAACCCCACCTAACTGTTCTTCAGTGGCTAGACGTATTCAGAGTAAATCACAAAGAGGGGTCCACAAACAATTTAGTCAAGAATTAGGTATCAGATTATAAAGTAATCGATTAGGCATCGAAATACATAAAAAGGAATATACCTGCACATTGCTTTCTTGCATCAGGATCTCCTTTGCCTTATCACATAGTGACCTAACCTACATTCATAAAAGCATAAGATTCAGAAACATTTGTCTACCATTGCTTAAGCCAAACTGTCAAATAAATGATGCATTAATAGGAAAAGGCAAGCTCAATAGGATCACAGTGATACTGATGTGATTCATCTTACAGAAAATGCATCAATCAAGTACATAATGCACGCTTTACCCCAAAACAAGTACAGATAAAGGGCAAATTCTGCAAGGTTGTGTACATGCCACTTAAAATTGGCAAGAAACACATCCCATGTTCTTCTTTAATACTTTAAATGAATCAAGTCAATCCCCCCCCCCAAAAAAAATATATACCTACATTATTTTCCCATGGGTTCAGGGCCAAACAACCCCTTTATTATCATCGGAGATCCATAGAGAACGCACATCTTCAAAAGCAAACAATCTAACTCCACTGCTCATATAAGCCATTATCATTTTAGAAGTTTTCCATTAATAGCTTTTCTTTGTGCTACGTAAGTCTCGAATGGATACATATTGCAACAATTAAGAGTATTGTTTAGTATGCTACACTTGCATCTTCATGTATGATAAGCCTTGATCTAGATGGTCCAAAAACAATTTTGAAGCATAAAATTTTGCATACAAGAGTTATGACAACCAAAGGGGTGTCCATGAATCATGGCCACTGGACCGAAATCAAAAACCAGACTCATATACCAGAAACAAGAGACCGTTTCAAAGCTGGAAGTAGGAATCTGACCCAAAATCATAAACTATTTTAGATACATCCAGGTTATAGAACAAGAGGGGTGTCAGATTAAAAAGGATCAAAGAGATGTGAAGAAGGGATGAAATCACTAAAACAAAATTTAATTTTAACCAATAATAAATCATAAGACCAGTGTATCTAGAGCACATAAATCTACCTTGACCCAGAAACAATTTTATCCAAAAATTAAAATAGCATAGGTTCCAAAAAACCTAAAATTAAAATCCACCAAAACTAAACAGATAATTTATCTTGAATTCGCTAAATGACTTACACCCAGATTTTCATCATTCTTCAGCTTCATAAAAAATGCATGTATATAACCTCCAAAGAACCCCAGAATTCAAACTGAAAAAAGAAAGCTTCGGACTTTATTGCAATAGATCTGACGAAAAAAGATCTGCCTAAATCAAATCTATTAACCCCACATATCATATCAAATGAATAGATCAATCACAAACACAACCCATCAAGAAATCAAAACAACAGATATTGGAATCAAAAGCTAATAACCTCTTGTTCAGATAAGGGTTTGCACTGCATGAGCTGGGCGATATGTTCATCAACATTGCGATTAACGCGCTGTACGACTGGATCCAAGCTCATCTTGTTTGTTTCTTTTGGGTAATTTCTTGAGAAATTATTTGAATCGAGGGATTTTATTTTAATTTAATTTTGTGGGTGGCGAGACATAACGAACGAACGAACGAACGAACGAACAAGAGGAGGAAAAATTGGTTTTGGGATGTGAGCGAGTGAAGAAGAGGCAGTGGGTGGTGGTGAAAACCGATACAGAAACGAAGGAAACCCTCCTTATTTTGCCTTTTTCCTTCGATCACCACAACCTTTTCCGGTTTTCCAAAAAAAATTCGAATTTTGAAATTAAATTAAAGACTCCCCTCTAATTCTATTGATGTGTGCTGAAGGCATCAACCATCCACGTTATTTGGGGTTTTCTTTTCTTCTTATTTCTTTATTTATTTTCTTTATTATTTATTTAATTAATTATTATCATAAAAATTTATTATCTACAAACAACATGTTATGCGTAATAGACAAAACAAAAGTATGCGTCATAATTGATATATCTTCAGGATTATAGGCCTTTTTTCTTATCCAAACGATTTGTAAACCAATCCGTGGACGAAGTATGTTCCATCAAAGTTAATCGATTTCCCCATCGAGCTTGAAGGCCATCGAACTCCATTGATACTAATCTTTACATATCAAGTATGCCAAACTGCTATTGATCTCCTATAGAGCGCCATAAAAACAAAAATACATATATCGTTGATTAAAAGAAGCACTGGAAGATGGATACAAATAGGGATGAAAACGAGGTGGGTATTGGACGGGTAATGCATCCCCCGTCCCCGATCCCTGTTTAATCCCCCCATACCCAACCCCGCCTCAACTAATCCCCAACACGTAAGGGGGAAAGGAATTCCCAGCGGGGTCGGGGAACCCGTTGGGTACCCATTTGGTAAAAATAGCATAAAAACAATGCACCTTAAAATTAAAATTATATTAAATTGTCACTACATTAATTATTAATATTAAAAATCAAACATATTTTCCATTTAATAACAGATGTACACATACATACATTATATAAATATATTAAATAAAAAATAATAAACTGATATCCGTGTTAGAGGCGGGTAATGTCATTCCCGATCCCGTCCCAAACCTTCTTCGGGTACGAAAATAAATCCCCGTCCCCGCCCCATTACCCGTAGCTCAGGGAATCACGTGTACCCGACCCGTACGAATAAAATTTCCCTCTCTAGACGCAAAGTTTATACATAGGTGTTTTCGGCATTGAGGAGTGTCTTTGAAAAGACGTCAAGCATATTTTTCCAACAATGTCAATCATAGAGGCATTTTATGTATACAATGAGCCTCTTTGAGCATAGAAACTCAAATTCCAATTTATCTCAACTTGTTTTAAATAATACAATTTTTTTAAAGAAACAAATTATTTATTTACGTTAATTGATATTTATTCATTAATTAAAAACCTAAAAAATGTTTTAATTTACTTTGTGTAAATCTAGATCTTGATTTTTTTAAAGCCTATTAAACACAATATCTCATTGTCCCATTTGTAATGATTAAATAACATATTTTTATTATTTATAAAAACATAAATCATATTTTTTCACAAGAGTTCGCGTTTTTTTAACTTTTACCGACATAAATTATTAAACCGTTACCTTTTCTAATTAAAATACCTGTATATCAACAATTATATAAAAATGAAAAAAAAAGTACACATTACGAGTATCAAAACTAATCAGCTATTGTTAAATGACAAACTCAGTCGTTTTATTTACGAAGACCAATCAAACAACACTTATATAAACGATCCATCAACACATAAATGTATCCGTTTTTATGGCAATATTTAATTCTTTTTACTAAAAGAACTAAAATTAATAACAGATAAAGAAGCAAACCCAGTATATATGACTAGTTGAATTACCCAAACGAGTAAACATTCCACATTTACTTCCAACAAGTTTTTTTTTTTTACCATCAACCTTCATAAACCCAACGTTAAACCATCACCCTCTACCAACATTCTAATAGCCGCCGACATAATAACGTAAGGTGGGCTTCAGTTTTTTTCGTTCTAACCGTGTTCTGATGTCATACGAATACGATTCTTGTTTATTTCTACTTTTTTTACATCTATTTTTCGCGTTAATCTTTATATATAATTTTATGGGTTTTAGTATCTATTTTTCAATAAAAAAATATTTAAAGAAAAAAAATATTTACCAAAAAAGAGAAGGCATGGGAATATTGACCGCAAGAGTAGAATTTGTATTGGTTGGCGTCTCTTATTTGAAACAACCGAGACCCAAAAAGAAAAAATCCCCCAAAAATTAATAAATATTTGTAGAGAGAGAGAGAGAGTGGGTAGAGAGAGAAACACGGGCAGAGATAGAGAGAAAGCCCTCAAGATATTTTTCTTTTTCGTATCGCTTTCTTCTTGTTCTTCCTCACAAAAATTAGGGTTTCTACTTCTACATTACCATCGGCGTTTTTTGCACAATCTCCCTTTGTACGTTTTCTTTACTTTCATCTCTTTCTTTTTCATGGGTCTGTCTTGTTTTCATCCCAAACCGATTTCTGCAACTTATGATGCAATTTTCTTGCTTCATGTTTTCAGATTTTTGTTTTACTTTCGTCTTGTTTTGTTAATTTACGTAGATCGTTTGTGTATTGTATTGCTTTTGTTTTTGATGTATCTGACTTTATGCTTCCAGAAACGTTAAATCTACGCATGCTTTTATCTGATTAGGAATTTGGTTGTGGATAAACTGGAAAGAAGAGAGAAAGAAGATTAATTTATTGGTTTTTGATGTTGACGAAAGTTGGAGTTTAGATTGGAATCAAGAAAATTTGTTTCTTTTTTGGGAAATTTTAGAGGGTGTTTGGAGAAACAATTTGATTTCAGAAGAGACCAAGGAGGAATTGAGGGGGAAAAACTAAGGGTTTGTGTTTGACTATGCCAACTTCTTGGGCTGATTCAGTTGCTGCAGCTGAAAACTCGGCTGCTGGTTCTTATGGCAATAATGCTGGTGTAGGGAATTCTTTGGCCCCAAACAGATCAACTTATGTTCCGCCACACCTTCGTAACCGGCCTTCTAGTGCGGAGGCTCCACCACCAGCCGCTGTTAACACTGTCCCTAGTTCCGCTGTTCCTGCTGTTGGTGGCGGTAATCGTTGGGCTGCTCCTAGGAATGACTTTAGGCCGGGGTATACTGCTGGCGGACGTGGCGGTGGAGGTGGCTGGAACAATAGGAGTGGTGGTTGGGATCGTGGAAGGGATCGTGAAGTAAACCCTTTTGGAGATGATGATGTTCCTGAGCAAGACTTTTCTGAACAGGAGAATAGTGGAATTAACTTTGATGCATATGAAGATATACCTGTTGAGACAAGTGGGGATAATGTGCCGCCTCCTGTGAATACTTTTGCTGAGATTGATTTAGGTGAAGCACTCAATTTAAACATTCGGAGGTGTAAGTATGTGAAACCAACTCCTGTTCAGCGGCATGCTATACCGATTTCTCTTGCTGGCCGGGACTTAATGGCTTGTGCCCAGACTGGGTCTGGAAAGACAGCTGCATTCTGTTTCCCGATTATCAGTGGAATAATGAGGGGTCAATTTGGTCAGAGAGCGCCACGGGCAGCATGTCCACTTGCTCTTATTCTCTCACCCACGAGGGAGCTGTCATGTCAAGTGCGTATATGATATTAAGTTGTAATACTTTTGTTTATATATTATTCTTGAAGGACTTATTCATTGCAGTTTTGGTCTGCAGATTCATGAAGAAGCTAGGAAATTCGCATATCAAACTGGAGTAAAGGTGGTGGTTGCCTATGGTGGTGCTCCAATTCATCAACAGGTGTCATAATCCTCATGATTGTATGTTTATATATGAAATGTGCCATTAATTTTTCTTGATAGGTTTATTTTCCGTATACTTTTCTTTATCTCAACTTCCACAAGAACTCCCTTTCGTTGGCACCCTTCTTGAGATGCTTATTATACTTGCTAATTGAAGTGAGTGCAATATGTATGTATACCTTGGGCACAACCAAGATTTATAAATTAGTCCACTGATAAAGTAATAATTCCGACTTGAAACCATTTTGATGGATTGTCTGTATATACCAAAGGCCTCTTTTGTTGGGACTTTTGCAGGATTAGTATTATGTAGAGGTACATATATTCTCTTTGTCTAGTATTCACATGATCTTTCAGTGTACTTATTTTTCTTTGTTGAAATTCTGGTCTTTAGTTTCTTTTTATCTCAAAATAGTTCAGAATACATAAAATAATCGAAAAAGCAGTCTGGATCACTGTCTATGGAAGTGGGCTATTTAGGAGCTTTCGTGTTTATAAGCTGGTTAAGAAGATCAAAGATTTGAATATGCTAAAATTTATTATCGTTTGGATGAAGGCACTCCCACTGTTTTGTGTTTAAAACCTATGATGTTATACATCATTCGTGCTCAATTTCACGAGTATTGCTTGAGTTTACTTCTTCTGTAATCATTGCACTACAATAACTTTTTCAACGAAGCAATTGTCTGGCAGCTAGTTGCATTTTCTAATCTGTGCATAAAGAAATAACGTTTAGACGAAAATACACAGAATATTTCAGAGACAAAGAATGGTAAGGTGCTTTGTTTAACATAGTAAAGATGAACATTAGCAAGCATAATTAAGCAAATATTACATGGTGTATACAGTTAGACACGAAGTAGTATTACATGCATATGTGATAACTTACCCTCAATAGGAGAAAGATTTCAATGGGTACTTGTGCATCTGGAGAATTATATGAGTCATGAAGCTTGCCTGCAAACATCCATGAATTTGCATTTGCAAGTTATTTATAAAGAGGGAAGACAATTTATCTCTGTATGGTATGAGCACCATAAAGATGAACATTAGCAAGCATAATTAAGTAAATATTACATGGTGTATACAACACACGAAGTAGTATCACATCCATATGTGATAACTTACCCTCAATAGGAGAAAGATTTCAATGGGTACTTGTGCATCTGGAGAATTATACGAGTCATGAAGCTTGCCTGCAAACATCCATGAATTTGCATTTGCAAGTTATTTATAAAGAGGGAGGACACTTTATCCCTGTATGGTATGAGCACTATCTACCTCGATTAGCAGCAGTTTTTTAGAAAATTATATTTAAGATCCTCATAGAGGAATAGTCCGAGTACATCCTACCCACCCAGAGTGTACTTTCGGGTGGGATGTGATGGGTATGCTTAGTATTGGTTATGTTTGTATTACTTGTTTAATGCTTCCCCCTATTCCTTGCTTTTGAGATGATCTGTCTGTTATACTCTACATGTACTTCAATACTTACCCTATATCTCTTGATGGTTTCCGTTATTTTACTTTCATGTTGTTTTATCAAAACATTTGGTCTGAGCTGATGTATTTTGTATTTGGTCAGCTTCGAGAGCTGGAGAGAGGCGTAGACATTCTTGTTGCTACCCCTGGGCGGTTGGTAGATCTGCTAGAGAGGGCACGAGTCTCTCTACAGCTCATCAAGTATTTGGCTTTGGATGAGGCTGACAGAATGCTAGATATGGGTTTTGAACCACAAATAAGGAAGATCGTGCAACAAATGGACATGCCCCCACCAGGTGTCAGACAGACAATGTTATTCAGTGCCACTTTCCCCAAGGAGATACAGGTTCTTTTCTTGTTTTGGTTATGTTTCTCATCCCTTTTCTTTGTCGGTTCAATAGTTTTGTGCATGATCATTGCAAGGGCCTTTACTTTTTTGCAAACAGAATATTTTTGTTTTATTAAAGTCGCTCACCTTTCTTTGGATAATCTACTGGATGCCACATGTGAGTTAGAAATTGATGTTCCAAGTACCAGCTTTGTGAATGTTGAATGAGTGACGGCCATTTGCATGCATGGCATACATTTTGGGGCTAAGTTTTTGTACTATGCAAGTATGAATAATCAAACTAGTCTTTCATTTCTAAATACAATCAGATTTGCATGCTTTTTAAGATGCTATGACTGAGATATTGCCAGCCTATTAGCATGTTTCCTTAGCGTTGATTCTTAGCATGGTTCATTAGTTACTGTGACAGGAAAGAAAAGAAAAGGCAATTTACCTTCTAATCCACAAAGATGAAATTATGAACACAATAGAACTAAGGGGGTGTTTGGTTCGATGGAATGGTTTTGAGGGATTTGGATTTCGTGGAAGGATTTGGAATTGGAGGGATTTATAACCTTTGGTGAGTTTGTTTTGTATGATTTGGAATGGAAATGAATTCCATTTCTTATAAAAACAAAATATAAATAATTATAAAAATAATTAAATTACCTTTATATTAATTGATTTTTAGAAAACAAATGTTTTCAACATATTTTAAAACATTATTACACAAATCCTACAAAATCCGGCGAAATACCAACCCCAATGGAATTTCTAAATCCCATGTTTGCGGGATTTCAATGAAATCCCGGGATTTCAGAACCAAGCAATCCTCCAAACCAAACATGTTATTGGAATGGAATTGAATTCCAAATCCTATCCAATCCTACAAACCAAACGGGACCTAAAATTAAAATTCGAATCGTAATCCAAAAATAAATCCTTTTGAACTAGACTAACAATCCCAACTTCCAGTATTGCTTCTTTCATCTTATATCATCTTTGTTTGTTATTATCATGCCTCAAATATGTTGTGACGATAGGCTTGTTTATATGTGCTATCACCAGTTGTATCAGCACATTGGATGGGGATTGGAGTTGGTGCTTTAGATGCTCTTCTTCCTATCATATCACTTCTTTGCCTACTTTCTAACATACAAAATAGCCAAAATGAAGCCATTTAATAGAGATTGATTGTGTATATTGGTTCCAATCTGTAATCCATATATGGTTTGGTTTAATATGCAGAGACTGGCCTCTGATTTTCTTGCAAACTATATATTCCTGGCTGTGGGAAGAGTTGGTTCAAGTACTGATCTGATTGTACAAAGAGTTGAGTATGTACAAGAAAGTGACAAGAGAAGCCATCTCATGGACCTCCTTCATGCGCAAAGGGCCAATGGTGCTCATGGAAAGGTAAAACCGGAGATGAAGAAACCTTTGAGATTTTATTTATCATTGGTCTTTTTGCATGGTTATGAAACTTGATATGGATTATCTTAAACTACTTGTCAGTTTGTTCATATCATATAACTTTAAGGACCTGTTGTTAGCAGCTTAATGAGCCTAATGGAACTCACAACTTATGTGGTCACCTATACATGACTGTTTGGTAGTGGCTTAATGATATATAAAGTGGCTTATTCAAGGTAGGAGCTTTATGCAGAAAGCCAAGTTTTTTTTTCCAAACCTGCCCCTCCCAATTAAAAAACACATTCCTTCCGTCTATGAAAAAACCCTCCTAAACAAAACCTTTCCCAATCTATATAGACAGATTAATCCACTTATATAGGACTTAATGAAAAACCAACCAAATAGCCCCCTAACTCTTCCTGCAATGTACATGTTGCTATGTGGGATTGATCGTCTTTAATTTTCATTGGAGAAGCTATAGTGCAAACAGGCTATTATGTGATCCATATCTCATCGTTGGGGTCGGAGAAAGCATTTATGGAACTTTAATACATTCTACATATATAGTCACTTGATTTCTAATATACTCGATCTTTGCAGCAAGCTCTTACGTTGGTTTTTGTTGAGACTAAGAAGGGTGCTGATTCACTGGAATATTGGTTGTGCATGAATGGCTTCCCTGCTACCACTATTCATGGCGATAGAACACAACAGGTATTTGTTTTTTGATTGTTAGTGTTCGGTAATACGCTTTCTTTTTAATATTATTGTAGATGATCTTATCTGATCTCTTGATGTTTTACCAACATTTAGAATGCTGAAATGCAGTTTTGTTTATTTTGGAACACTTGCAGGAACGTGAGCAGGCTTTGAGATCATTCAAAAGCGGCAATACCCCGATTTTGGTTGCAACAGACGTAGCAGCACGTGGTCTTGATATTCCACACGTTGCTCATGTGGTCAATTTTGACCTTCCAAACGACATTGATGACTATGTCCACCGTATAGGAAGAACCGGGCGTGCAGGAAAGTCGGGGCTAGCCACCGCCTTCTTCAATGACAACAATGCTTCCATGGCAAGACCATTATCAGATCTCATGCAAGAAGCCAACCAAGAAGTTCCAGCTTGGCTCGCTCGTTATGCAGCTCGTGCTTCGTATGGTGGAGGCAAGAACCGCCGTGGTGGAGGTCGGTTCGGCGGCCGTGATTTCCGAAGAGACTCTTCATTCAGTAGGGGCGGCGGCGGTGGTGGTGGAGATTATTACGGTGGAGGGAACATGAACAGTGGTTATGGCGGCCCTGGTGGTGGATATGGCGGAGGATATGGAGCTCCTGGTGGTGGGTATGGCGGCGGCGGCGGCGGAGGCGGAGGTTATGGCCCTGGTGTCGCCAGTGCCTGGGACTGAGTTTGAAATATAACGTAAGAGATTTTATAGCGGCAGGCAGGCGGTTGTTTTGGTCTACTATTTGTTCTTTTACCCTTTATGGGCAAGGTTAAGATGAAGTTAGTAGTTTTATATGTGCACCAAGGATAGAAATGTGTAATACTAATACTTGCAGCAGGTGGTAGATAACATCTACTAACAGATTAGGAGTTAATTTTCGTGGTTAAATTTGGTGGTCGATGGGTTGTGGAATTGGTCTGGTGGTCATGTATACGATAAACGTTTATTTCTGCAACCCGTTTCGAGGGTCTGTAGATTATTTGTGGCTTTCGCATCGCCTTTTTCTGCAGAGGCCTCCTATGCTTAAATCAAATCAAAGTGTGCTTCTTTATGTGATTCTTTTGCAAAGTCTTTTCTTTTGCTTTGTTATGGATATTTATGGAAACAATCGTTCTATTCTTTTAGGCAGATGTTAGATCTGTACGTATTGTCCTAAACCCTGTTCTAGAGTGGGATTTACGAGGTTGGTTTGTTTTTTGTTTTTTTTCTTCCAAAAGAACAAACAAATCAAGATTCAAGAGGTGCATAATGTAACGTATGGGGTGGTGGGAGTAAATGCAGGTTGATGAATGTTGGTATGGTGAGGTGATGTTTGTTGATAAAAATGGAAGTTAATGCAGTTGGTGGTGTGTATTTATTGTAGAAATATCTACTCGAGTTAAGGCTCCTTCGACATGTAGTTTTCAAATTTACAAAATTGTTTAGATCTTTTGAACCCAAATTAATACGATCGAGAAAAGGATTGGAATTTTATGATTATGACAGGTTATGAAAAGATAGTCTGTCATCGTGTTGGTGTTAATATTTTTAAATCCATCTCTACCGAGGTATGAATTCGTAGGCGCACTTTTCTTCTATTTGTTTCCGGTCAGGTAAATTACGAGGTTTTTTAAGTTATATAATCATTGTTTTATTTTTAATCAGAAAAATAAATTGTATGTATGATTGAGATCAATTAGAACAAATAGTGATAATCCATCACTGAAATTCGTTTTCATCAAAAAATAAATAATGAAAAAAATGCCGATTTATTTGACTTGAAAACATGAAAAAGGAGAAAAAATCAAAGTCGGGACAAAATTAAATAAGTTGTCAATTTGGTCAAAAAATAAAATTTTATTTTTCCAAATAAATATTTTTTATTTTGCAAGAATTAATATTTTAAGAAAATATTAATTTAATCCCCTTAATATTTTAAGAAAATATAATAAATGGGTTTGTAATAAATACCCAATACATTTGTTAAAAAACTAATTACTCAGAAACAAGAAATATCTCATTTGGAAGAAAATATTAATTTAATTCCCTTTAATATTTTAAGCAAATACAATAAATGATATGTAATAAATACCCAATATAATTGTTAAAAAATTAATTACTCAGAAACAAGAAATATCTCATTTGGAGTCAAAATTCACATATGAATCCCTGTTTAGAAAGCAAAATCAAGACGGCTCCAGATGTAATTTCCCAGTGAATCAAAAAAGCCCCTCTTCACACCAAACAACACTCTCCAGTTTTTTGAAGTTGCTGCAAAGCTCTTACTTCCAAGCACCAACAAACACACACACTTTCCCTCTTTGCATTTTCATATACAATTACAGAAAAGAGGTCATTTTTTGGGTTCTTGGAGTTATCTTTTCTCTTTCTGGAATACTATAATCTTTGGATCAGATTTCAAGATTGGCGGTCATCGCTTTTCCGTGATCTGAAACGCACAGTATTTCTTGAAATTTTGCTTTGTGGGTTTATAGCAAAAGAAACTGATATTTCTTTATATGAAATTACTGGAATTCTGAGTGAGATGGCTCAATTATCTGAACGTGAAAGGTCTCCTAATGTGCAACCACGGGGGTTTCGAGTTCAAGCTCCATTGGTGAGCCCTATGTGTTCTTTGACTTTTTTTTTCTGCTTATAGCATCTGTGTTTCATGAGTATATAGATGACACCCACAAGAAATTGTGCTTAAATGAGCAGTTTTTTCAACAATCAACTGACACTAGATGTGCTAGATTTTGTGGGTTTTGTTGCTTTACATCAAATGTGAGTAGCATACCACCCAGATGAAATTATGATGGAATAGACAGTTTTTTTGTAGGATGTTGACCTTAATTTATGGGTTTTGTTTCTTCACATCATTCCTGAGTAGTATATAGAGATATCCAGATGAAACTAGACATACAATGTGCAAGTTTTGAAGCATTCTAGACATTAATTGGGGAGATTTGGCGGTGTTTTTTGCTTGTTTATGGTATGATTTCTGTTTAATTTTGCATTCTATTAACAAAGTTTTGTTGAGCATCATTGTTGGGTACTAATTCTTGCGTATCTTCTCATTCTGCCCTATGAAAGCAGAGTAAAATCTTCAAATTTATGAGTAAAAACTATGCCAAAACCATGACTTTAAACAATACATAAATCTGATACAAATAAATAGCAAATCTACATCTTAGGGGTTGTTTGGTTGGTTTGCCATTAAGTTTTGTAGGGATAAAGTTGTTTGCGTGGATTAATCTGTCTGTATAGACCGATAAGGTTTTTTTTGGGAGGGGTTTTTCGTAGATGGAAGGAACGTGCTTTTTAGTTGGGAGGGGCAGGCGGGGGAAAAACTTGGATTTCTGCATAAAGCTCCTCCCTAGAAGCATACTGAATAAGCCACTTTCTATATCATTAAGACACTACCAAACAGTCATCTATAGCTCACCGAATAAGCTGCGAGTCCCATTGAGCTGCTAACAAACAGGCCCTTAGTTCCTCCCTTGTATTCTTGAGACGCTAAACGTCATCTATGGGAATTCAAGTAATTCAGATGGGGGCTCATTTTCAAAATAGTTTCGGGATTAAAAATTTTCTTGCTGTTCTTGTACAACGTGCGTCCTTTGTGCACAATATCAGGTTTCTTGCTGTTTGTAATAGATAATGAAGTGGTATTAAGTTGAGAGTAGATGCTCCCTATGTTGTAGAATTACCTATAGTCTGAATGAATGTGATTGCTGCGCATCCTAACGTGTAGAAGTGATTCAGGTTGATTCTATATCCTGCTACTGCAAAGTTGATGCAGGCTTCAAGACGGTTGCTGGAGCCAGAAAATTTGTTCCTGGATCAAAAATTTGCATCCAGCCGGATATCAACCCGCATGCACATAAGGCTAAAAATGGGCGTAGGGAAAGGACTAGAGTTCAGCCACCCCTTCTTCCTGGACTTCCTGATGACCTTGCCATTGCGTGTTTAACCCGGGTCCCACGTGCTGAGCATAACAAGCTTCGACTAGTTTGCAAAAGATGGCTCAGGCTTTTATCAAGCAACTACTTCTATTCCCTCAGAAAGAGCCTCGGGATGGCGGAAGAATGGGTTTATGTCTTCAAAAGAGACCGTGATGGAAGGATTTCTTGGCACGCTTTCGACCCTACTTACCAACTATGGCAACCCCTTCCACCTGTTCCCATGGAGTATAGTGATGCTCTTGGATTCGGATGTGCGGTTCTAAGTGGTTGCCATCTTTATTTATTTGGAGGTAAAGACCCGCTTAAAGGATCCATGAGACGTGCCATTTTCTATAATGCTCGCACAAACAGATGGCATAAAGCTCCAGATATGCTTCGAAAGAGGCATTTTTTTGGATCTTGTGTGATTAACAACTGTCTTTATGTGGCTGGAGGAGAATGTGAGGGAATCCATAGGACTCTTCGTACTGCTGAAGTTTATGATCCCAATAAACATCGTTGGAGCTTTATTTCAGATATGAGCACGGCCATGGTTCCCTTTATAGGAGTCGTTTATAATGGGAAATGGTTCTTAAAAGGCCTCGGGGCTCATCGGGAGGTCTTGAGTGAAGCTTATACACCAGAAACTAACACGTGGATGTCAATCGCTGACAGTATGATTGCCGGTTGGCGCAATCCAAGCATCTCTATGAATGGAAAACTTTATGCTTTAGATTGTCGTGATGGGTGCAAGCTCAGGGTTTATGAAGAAGGCACAAATTCTTGGAAAAAGTTCATTGATAGTAAGGTCCATTTCGGGAACTCTCCTGCTGTTGAGGCTGCTGCTCTTGTTCCTCTTAAAGGGAAACTGTGCATTATTCGTAACAATATGAGTATCAGTCTAGTTGATATCTCGAGTCCAAATAAACAAGTAGAGAGTAATCCTCATCTTTGGGAGAATATTGCCGGAAAAGGTCACATAAAAACGTTATTCACAAATTTATGGTCAAGTATATCAGGGAGAAATGGTCAGAGGAGTCATATTGTGCACTGCCAGGTGCTTCAAGCATGAGGAATTCAAAACCTTACAAACACAGTCAGAATACAATCCTCAAAAACTCGAGAAAAGTATTGGGTTTCGTCTAACTTTTTGAAACCATTTAAAGTTACTATCGAGATTGATTCATTGGGTATCCATTGTGGCAAACGAGAAGAGTTCTTGCCATCTAGGAGATGTACAAAGTTCTCTCTGAGAACCCGTTGTGTGGTCAATTTGCAGGCACCCATAAAGGAAGCAAGAATCTTTGAATCTATCTGTTGTTACCTGATTTCTATATGAATACGGTAAGCAGTCTTTTCACTTTTCAAGATTTCTTGTGTAATTATAAAAGGATTTGTGTATACATGTGGGTTAGAACTCATTTAGATTACTTATATACATACATATATATATATATATATATATATATATATATATATATGGACCTAGCAACGTCTTGATTCATTTACTTCTCGTGAGCCTTTGAATCCAACGTGATGTGGATATTTTAAAGCTCATTATGTGTCATTACTGCAATGGGTAGAACATGGACTAGAACTTGTATTGAATCTTTGTTATATTTGGTACACAAGACGGAAAATATGAAGAACGAACAGTTTCTTTATCGTTGTAATTAAAGAACAATCAAGTGAATCGAATGACAACTGTTCTTGGCTGCTAGATAGATCAAGTACCCCTGCTTATCATCTCATAGAAACGTTTGAGCGATTCTGCACGTTGAATCTTAAGCTGGTCCCTGAAGTTCTTGATGAAATCATCTGCCTTTTTGTTGACGTCTGTTCTTTCCTCTATCACTTCAAATCTCCTTAGCACCCTTTGTGTAATCTTTTCACCATTCATCTTGGCCCTTTCTGAACTTTCAGAGACAGAATCCCCTTTGCCCTTCTCCATTACTGCTGCTAACCTTTAAAGAGAGAGAGCTACAATGTTTATGGATATATATATGTATATGTATGTATGTGTATGTATATATATATGTATGTATGTGTGTGTAGGAGAAGAATGTGAAACTTGAAAGGGTGGATTTGGGTAGGTTAAAGCAAAGAAAAGGGGAAGGAAAGCAAAGAAGTATGCCATGGTATTTGTTGAAGTCTTAAAGAGTGAAGGGTGCATATTTGTTGGGATACTGCAAACATGCTAAAGGTTTCAAGTCCACATTATGCATAACTTTATGGTCAAGTTTGGACAACTTTTTGGCTCCATTGGAATACATCTCATGGAGAACTGCACCTTAAGGGTGAGTTCGGTACGCAGACGGCACTGAATTGAACATGTAACAGTGAGGCAAACAGGTGAAAGAATTATCCAAGATTTTAATTTGACATGTATAGTTCAGTAACTTACAAATCTTATCCCACATCCCTGATTTTAGTTCCACCTACTTTGGTGGGATACAATGCGTAGTTGTTCTGTTCAGTATTGTTCTGTTCTAGTCTTAAGTCATTTGGCCCAGTAGGACACATAGCCTTCCAAGTGGTCAATGTAATACACCTTACCAAAGGTGAGGAATGCGTGTGAGTATCAACAATAGAAACCTACTATATACTTAAAAGAAAGTTTTTATCTTGTCATGTCCCACGTATTAAAGTGGAAATAATGTTATGCTAAAGAAGATGAAACACATAATTAATTAGCATATTTTCTTTGTCGAGATTCCAGTAGTATTGTTATGAAAAAATTTCTGCTTACACATGGGTTCGGACTTCGGAGTATTTCTATGGACTTAGCAACGTCTTGATTCATTTACGTTTTGAATTCAGCATGATGCTTTATATGTCATGTTGAAGTAGATCGAACATCCTCAAAAACCTGCATAAATTGAATCTTTATTGTACACGAAAGATGGAAGGAAATAATAAATCTTTCTTTATTATTTGTAATCGTTTAACAATCAATCGGATCCAATAACAACAACTGTTCTTGACTGCTACTTAGATTCAAGTACCCCTGCTTATCATCTCATTGAAACGTTTGATCGAATCTGCACGTTGAATCTTAAGCTGGTTCCTGAAGTTCTTGATGAAATCATCTGCTTGTTTATCAATGTCTACTCTATCTTCCACCACTTCAAATCTTCTGGGCACCCTTTGTTTCATCTCAGTCTTTCTTGAGCTTCCAGCCACAGACCCCCCCGTACCCTTCTCCATTATTGCTGCTGAGTGATGATCTTGAGAGAGAGAGAGAGAGAGAGAGAGAGAGAGATGCAGTGGTTATGGGTACATGGATATAGATACAATACATATATATATATATATAGGGGAAAAAGTGAGAGTATGTGATGGTATTTGTTGGGCTACTGCATTGTGCATATATTTTATGGGCAAAGTGTGAACAACTTTTTGGATTGATTGGAAGACATGTGATGAAGAACTATTTCTTTAAACTTAAAGAAATCAACATTTGAACACATGGAACTTCAAATCTATCTGTAAACCATTAAAAAGGGGAACAAGACAAAGAGTCCCCATTGCAATCTACTTTATAATATGCAATTATTTATGATGCATACAAGAATGAATAATTATAATAGAAAACGATAAAAGTCGTTGGAATTTGACTACTTTAAATCTATAATCTATTTTCTTCCCCTAAAAGTGTTATTGATACTGATCTGTATCTCTATTTTCTTTTCCTTGACGATCTGGTATCACATTTTTAATTGCAATTGTGGCACTCAGTATTTTTTTTAGCTACTTTCAAACAATCGAATGGTGATACAAAACCCTCTAAAATGGTATTATCCATCTGGCGATCAAGATACTTGACGCTCTAAGTGACGGTTGATAAGTATCTCAGCCGTCAATAGTTGGCTAGTGACCATTGTAAAAAATTATTGTATTTCACATTTTAAATTAAAAAAGGGTAGTTTAGTGATTTTACATTGCTGTGTTGTGAATTGTGGTCCAAGATGCACACACTGGGTGTAGCCTGGCCCGAATAGGGGGCCCGAGGTCAGGACAAGTCCAAGCCCAAAAGACCAATCAAACCCATTTCTCAACAAAAAGTCCAATATAACTTGTGGGTATTTGCTAACAACTCGGAGAAAATGAACAAATCCTATTAAATGCAATACCATAGTAACGGATATAGTCTTTGCATGGTAAGGTCGAGGATGGCTAATCATCGTCGTGTTCGTATTTGATCATTTGCTAGGGCCAGGGGATACACAATGTTGAAAACATGAAATGATTTCGTTCACCTTCTATTCCAGGTAGTGACATCGCATCATAATTACAGCTTTAGGCATTGACTGTAACTGTTTTTCAATCAGTTCTGGTTATTAAAGTTGGGAAATAATTACGTTCTACAAAAATGAAGTACCAAGGATTAGAGTTTTTTTTTAGGTAAAAGATTTTAAGAGGTTAAAGATGAAGAGTTCAACACATATACCCATATGTAATTAATTAACACAAACTCGTTAGTTTTAACAATTTAGGGACCAAATTTGTGTAAAAACTTAACTTTAGACCAACTAGAATACAGAAAAATAAAATCTTGGACTAAAACTTGAGGCTGATCAATACAATGGGGACGAGTTTGGTAATTAATCTTACCATTCCTTTTTAATATTTTTGGGTCTTCCAAAGTCACATCAAAATGGTGGCATGTCAATTTTTTGGGTCCTTCATTTAAATCATCATTTCATACATTCAAATTGTTGTTCTAATATTTAATTTCTGCGTTAATCCAAATTGGTTAGGTTAAATGTATTCATATATATTAGAATGGTATTTGTACAATATAGCGAGATAAATGTCGATTTTAATGTTTAGTTTTTTATTATGTCTTTATCGATATAATAAAATTTTTATGTGGTTTTGAGAAAGCGGTTATGTTTTTATTTTAGAATGAAATATAAATTTGAAAAATAATCGATATTAGTATCAAATTAACTATTTAATAGTTATTGTTTTTTGTATAACTTCTTTAATTTAATTTTTTATTATAATTTAATTTAGATTTAATAACAAAATGGTTGTTAGAGTTTTTGTCAAATATTTTATAATATAGTAAAGATTATTAGATGTATTTTTACTTATTAATTTCTTTTTTATATACGTCAATATTAATATTTTATTTTTTATATTTTTTTAATTATCAATACATAATTTAAGATATAAAACAAGAGAAACTGGTACAACTTAATTTTGAAATATTAAGGTGGCTCACTGGTTTGATAGCCACCATTTTTGGATTTGTGCTCCCACTTGACATAATTAAATTCTTTTTACATTTATAGTCTTGACTAAAATTCTTGATTAGCTTACAAGCTTAAATTCTGTATAAGGAAAATGATACCAACCACCAAGTTTCGTAAAGTCGTGGTTGATTGTGGCTGACCGGAAATAATGGTGACGAATGACGACGGTGAGATAAAGAAACGAGACTTTTTGATGCGTAGAGTGAAGAAATGAAACCCGATGTCTACATGTGTAATGGGTTTTCAAATTTCGCCACTAAGTTTTTCTTTAAACTCAACCATACGACTTCTATAATAAAGTGTCGGATAAGATAGAACCCTTTTGGTGAAATTCGAACCTTTAATTTTTTAAACAAAATGAGGTAACATGAATAACGTCGAATCAGTATTTTATTAACACATCTCTTCAAAATATATATAGAGAGAGAAATAATCAGTATTTTATTAACATCATATCTGATGTTAAATCATTGACGCAGACAACCTTTAGCGCGCTTAAGTCATAGAACACATCATCCCGCACATCACATGATCCCTAACGCGTATTATCACATGTGATAAGAATGTTATCGCGTTCTTATAAAACAGAAGTAATCTCTTTTCAACCTCTATATATATATATATATATATATATATATATATATATATATGCTTATCTAGTTATCTAAGACTATAAAATATTAGTAGAGCGTGAGCTACATAAATCCCGTGAAGATTTTCTCGTAGACGTAGGGCGCACCAATGACCAAACATACCCCACCTTCCAATGATTATGTTTTTATTTTATAATTTCCCTCTACTTTTACTATTGTTAACGGTAGAGTAAGATGTCGTTTACCAAATACTTATCAAGGTAAATGCCTTATCAAGTCATTTTACTTTATTAATGAATATGAAAAAGACTACAAAATCTTATTGGGTAAGAAACGAAGGCAAGAATCGATAATCTTACCCGGTAAGTGAGGACGAAGACTCTTACCATAATTGACACTTATCGGGATAAATTGTTGCATACGATGCGTTTTAGTGAATAAAATCTTACCCAGTAAGTAAGCAATAGTGTTGAATTTACCTCTAAGTGCTTAACGAGTAAATGTTTAGATAAACAACCCTAAATCAAGATTTTATGGTTTGTTAAAAAGTTACGATTTTTATTTTTATGATTTGG